CCTGCCAGGGGTGCAATCCCCTTTTGCAAGGCCCCTCTTCTGAGACACCAAATACAAGCATTTAATGTCTCCATGAATTCTAATTTACTCATTTCATCATTTCACTTTATTACCCCTACAGAACATACCGTTCATTTTGGTTTGATTTTTTGTTACTTCTCCTAACTTTGAATTATTTGAATTGATGAAATCAGGTACATTTTCATACCCAGTGAACTGAAAAAATGTTCCCAGAACCACATCTAAAAGAATGGCTGTGAAACAATTTAGAAATATGGCATACATCCATTTCTCTTGATTTCTTAATTAGAAAACTTTTCCTTTGTCTTTTTCCCTCCTTTTATTCATTAATGTGAATATCCTTTCATTTCAGGGAGGAAGCCCAGTCTTTCTGCATAAAATGCATTTCTCTCAAAGATCCCTTTGTACTCTGATCACCAAATCTAAACAGCCTTCTCTTCACACACACACACACACACACACACACACACACGGACTCTTCAGTTTTTTAAGTCCTTGCTTGTATGAGGATGATGAATTACTTTGAGAACCACACCTTGATTCTAGTTTCTAGTCTTTTGCCTGGCCAAGCTCAGTCCTATCACCCAAACCTGCTTATTAACAATTCCACAAGTCAGACCACTGCTCTCTCAAAAATATTCGGCCTCCTCACTTTCTGTTTGCTCAGTCTTTGCATCAGATGGCAAGTCACCTTCACCCTTTTGATGATGTGCACACACTCAGACCTGTGCAAATCTGTGACATTAGGCAAATCACTTCCCTTCTCCAGGGCCCATTGTGAAAAATGAGGGTTTTAGATATAGAGATCTTCAGGGTTATTTCAGCTCCAATAGTGAGCAATTTTCTCATTCCCACCACAAGTTCACCTCAATGAGAAAATACTCTAGAACTGACTGAATAAGCCCCATTCAAGAGTACAGGTTTTCTTTTCCTTCTTTGTTTCCTTTTCTCTTGGAGACTGTCTGCTTCAGTGATAGCCTAAAGGCTCTCATGTTGGGCTTGTGTGACTCGACCACAATATCCCATGGTCTATTGCTCTCAGCCACCCCGTCACATACAGTCTCAGTTTCCTCCCTAGTATTCAGGAGCTCCTCGGCCTGTGAGCAGAGGTAGTACCTCCATGTCACAGAGTGCTCTAACTGTATGGGCCCCACTATGCTCCTGGGTTCCCATCTGCATTGTTGAGAGATAGCTGCCTCTCTGAAACGCTCAGGTACACCGCCAGGAAAATGTTTGTCTGCCTCTCGGTGCTCCTGGAGGAATCTGTAGGCCAGACGCGGCCCCTCCCTGAGGTGAGCTCTGCCCTGCGCCCATGACTCATTCTCCGTGCAGCAGGGATCAGCAGCCACCCCCACCCTCAACAGCTCGGAAAAAGTTTATAGTATGCACCAACCCAGCCCCTTTCCTTCACGGGCTCCCTGTTAACTGGCCACCCAGAGAGCAGCAACACCCTCACTCACTCACCTTCACCGGGGAGTTTTGTCTGTGGCCTCAGCCTCGCTTTCATATGGCTCCCTGGAAACTGCAGACTGAATGGATGCTCTTCCACAAGGGAAATTTCCACTCCATGACTGTCATTTACAGTGGGCGGGTCAGAAAAAATGGGTCAAAGACTATTCACCATAGAGAAAGTTCTAAGTCTAAGCAAGCAGTGTGTTTGAATCATGACGGAATTTGGCATCTGTCTCTCTTCAGCAAATTTACTCATAACCTTTGGCCCCTCTACACACCTGATTTCAGAGTTAGACGATTACACTAAACCACAGGCTCGGAGCTGCCATAATCACACAGCTCCTGCGTCACATTTACAGCCTAAGTGGCTCAAGGGTCACTGGACTGTGTGAGTGATAAAACCGAGTCACCACCACAAAGATATTTACACAGAGGTCTGAAAAACCAGGTACAAACATACACAAGTCAATGATGTGTCTTGGGGTGGGAAGTGGGGCCTGTGTCTACAAAGGGCCACTGCAGCAAAGTACTGAATTTCTCATTTGACCCCATGGAAAAGAAGAGTTTATGATAAGGGCAATGTCCTTAAATGCTTAAAAAGCACAGATTAGTGTGGGTAAACCAACATGGGATCAATGAGGGAATCGAGTCTGTTTCAGGAGGATAAAAATGTCAGCAAAGCAAGGGCAACCAATGAATGCAATTTAGATTTTTAAAGACTTCTAAATATCTTCTCTCCTACAGGCTAATTAAGGAGAAAAAAAATCACTCAAAGAACCCAGATGCATTTAATCTGGGTCATGGATGTAGAACTTAAGAGGGGAGGAAAAAAAATCACCTGTCAGGTACAATGTGCACCATTGGGGGTGGGGATACACTTAGAGCCCAGACTTCGCTGCTGTACAATGCATCCATATAACCAAAAACCATTTGTACCCCTAAAGATACTGAAATTTAAAGAACAAGCTATTTAAGAGACAGAGAATGAAAGCAGGGAAACACATCTCAAACTGTGAGCCTTCTGGATACTAATGTGTAGGCTGGTCTTATAAAAATCATACAAATGGCCAAGACAGTGCAAGTAGTGCACAATTAAAATCTGAAAGTCATAGCTAACTTTAAGAAAAGTTGGTAGTAAAAATAAAGTTTTATGAATATCTTTCCAAGCTATGTGTGCAGGCAAAGATGACATGGAAGTTCCATGTGGTCAGGTGCACAAGGGAAATAATTCAGCATATATGTATATGATTTTAAGCTTCAAGCATGTTGCAATTCAGAAAGGGCTCTATAAATAGAAATGCTATTAATGTCTCCTGAAGACACTGTTTGCTTAAAAAAGCAACAAAATAATGTATATCCACATATGCCTCAAATGCGGCTCTGTCTAAAAGGTTGTTTTTGCAATCGCTCACAAGAAATTGCCAACTTTCAAAGCCGATCATGCCAGTTAGTATTCAAGAAATTGAGTGAAATTCTGGAAATTTGAGGAAGGAAGGGACAATGAGTGAAACTATGCTAAACTTTTTCAAATTCAAAGTATGGTTAGTATATAATCTAAATACTACATATACTATATAATCTCTCAACTGAAGAGAGATTACCCATGTCTAAATTTTTCTTTCTTTCCTTAACCAAGGACCTAAAAACAGGTAAAGCGAAACATCTTTTAATTTCCCAGATTAGGTGCAAATAACCCAACTAAATGAATATATATTAAATATCTAATGAATAGTTTACATTAGATATTAGAATAGTTAGAAGGCTTACAGAGCTTGGGTACAAAGGGATCAGAAGATCTTAGCAACTTCAAGCAAAGAAGCAGTCATGTAACTCAAAAAATTATTTGCATGTGCATAATTCATAAGTTGATAGTTTGCCTCTCTGAGAAATCATGGAGAATTTTCCTAGAAAATACAAGGTTGGCTATGGCTCTGAGTCATATGGCCAGCATTCAAATACTGATTTGCATAAATAGTTTGTATTATAGTTATTGAAGAATCAGTTATTAGTTTATATAGTAATAGATACATATGCAAACAATTATATATACATATATAATTTATATATGTAAATTATATATAATACATATATAATACATATTATTTATGTTTAAAATCTGGCTTTATGAATATAGTGAAAAGCCTCAATTGACCTTCTCTAAAATCATCCCTTAGATTGTGTCATCCTGCTTACATGCCAACCACTATAGTAATAAACTTTTTTAAAAAATTAAACAACTTGCCGGGCTCGGTGGCTCAGCCTGTAATCCCGCGCCTTTGGGAGGCTGAGGTGAGTGGATTTCCTGAGCCCGCGGGTTCGAGACTCACCTGGGCAGAGAGACCTCATCTGTACAATAAAATAAAAAAATCAGCCGGGCATGGTAGCGCATGCCTGTAATTTTGGCTACTTGGAAGGTTAAGGAGGAAGGATCGCCAGAGCCCAGCAGGTCGAGGCTGTGGTGGCCGGGAGCGGCCACTGCACTCTAGTCTGGGCGACAGAGTGAGACTCCAACTCAAAAAAAAAAATTTAAGCAACTTAACATATTTTAGAATGGATTGAAAACATAGTGGATTGTCAAAAGTAAACATATGTCATAACATTGTTCACTGGGCACAGGATAAATTTTATAGTATTATTCTTACTTTTGTACAAAGCTGCAATGCAATTCTACTTTTGAGCCCTCCTAAATATAAAAGAGTAGCAGAGTGTCAAAGGAAGGATTACAGTGATCTAGCTTAAAAGATGCATAAAAAATGACTATGTTAGCCGGCCTTGGTGGCTCAGCCTATAATCCCAGCACTTTGGGAGGCTGAGGTGAGTGGATTGCCTGAGCCCACGGGTTCGAGACCCACCTGGGCAACTTGGCAAGACCTCATCTCTACAATAAATCAAAAAATTAGCCGGGCGTGGTAGCGCGTGCCTATAGTTCCAGCTAGTTGGAAGGCTGAGGCGGAAGGATCGCCGGAGCCCAGCAGGTTGAGGCTGCGGGGGCCGGGAGCAGCCACCCCACTCCAGTCTGGGTGACAGAGTGAGACTCCAACTCAAAAAAGAAAAAAAAAGACTATGTTATTGTTGTGTGAAGACTCTCATAAAAACAAAACAAAACAAAAACAAAAACACTTGAAGTGGTATTCTTCAACTGAGAAAGGAGATAAAGAACAATGTAGTGTTAGACTTTGGAGGTTACTTGCTCCAACCCTGCCTTTGGCACTTAAGGGAAGAGAAACACAGACAGGTTGAATCATGGCAGTGTTGATAACTACAGTTCGGATCTCTTGACTTGGAATCTAGGACTCTTTCTGTTATACCATGCTGCCTTTCACAAAGAAGATAAAGCAGCTGGAAAGATATCTTCTCAATAATTCAAGTCAGAATATAAAATCATGAATGGTTTGAGTAGATTTGCCAAATCCACCCAAACTAGCCTATACTTGTACCTTGTGGATACAGTAAAAATAGGCTGGAACCCTCTTGGCATGCTATGTTCTGAATGTTGTTCAGTGCTGAGGAGTCTGAGAAGAAAACACTTGTAGAAGTGCCACGTTTATTAGAGTGAGAGAGTATTACCCTCACATTGCCACCAACAGACAAAGATCTCAGAGACGCATGCACCAACCTCACACCAATAATTAAGGAGAATTTCAAGGACTAACAGATACCTTAAAGGTCACCATGTTGACCCTCCCATCTGGTACGTTAGTCCCTCTTAAACATCCCCCTCCAGTGGACTGAGGTCAGATTCCTTTTATCATATGGCCACGACGGAAACTTCGGCCAGCTCTGAATCTGCACTCTGGAAGCAGAGAATGTTTGAGTACCATATGGTAGTTAGTAGAAGGAAAGCTCCTTGGTGCAGGCCCCAGCAGGTCCTTTTTCCCATGAAAAAAGGTTCCCAGAGTCCAGTGCGAAGTCCCTCAAAATCCCCCCACCAAGCACAAAGCACAAAAGGAGGCCTGGGACAAGTGACTGGGTTAGCTGGATTTTGTCCCTGGGCATTCAGAAGGCCTTATTCTTGGTCTACACAAGACTTCTAGCAGGGTTCTGGGGCAAGCCCTTTCCAAGAACAGCTTGTTCTTAAGCTCAGAAAACTACTCAGAGAAAAGCTAGGCATGCTGTTCCACCAGCTGTAGTTTGGCAGTCTTGACTCGATGGGCTTCCTTCAGGTTCCGTGCACGGGCCTCTGGGTTGGAAATGAACTTCACTTGCTGTACAGGAAACCAGCCTTGTTCTCCATCAGAGAGCCTCACACCCTCCAGCCAGCCTGTGGGCAGAGGATAGGTGGGAAGAAGAGTTACCAGGGAAAGGCTCACGATAGCTCCCCCTGGTCTACCTTCCTGGAAATTTTGGGAATCCTAAGATTGAATCACCTGGGGAGGCTCCAGCAGGAGAATTCCAGTCTCCCAGTGTACTAAACTTGGCTGTCCTAGATCTGGTGAAGTCTACAGCTGCCCACTCCTGAGGCTTCTTCACTGTTACGGTTGAATTGTGTCCCCCTTCAAAAGATATGTTCAAGTCCCAATCCCCGGTACCTCAAAATGTGACTTTATTTGGGAATGAGGTCCCAGATGTAATTAGTAAAGTCTTAACTCATTGGAGTAAGGTGGTCATTAATCTAATACAACTGGTGTCCTTATAAAAAGAGGAAAATTTTGACGTAGACACAGAGGGAAGATGGCCACAGAAGACGGGAGTTAGGTTGCCTTAAGCCAAGGTACACCTGGGGCTACCAGACTGGAAAAGTACGGAAGACTCCTCCTCAAAGGCTTCAGAAAGAGCATAGCCCTGTCAATGGCTTCATTTTTGACTTCTTGCCTCTAGAACTATTTCTGCTGTTTTAAGCTGCTCAGTCAGTGGTCCTTGGTAATGGTAGCCCTGGGAAGTGAATACATCTCCTATAGTGTCCTGCCCCAGCACCAGCCTACTTTTCCCTGATTCTCCCTCTTACCATCACTGCTTTGCTGAATCACCATCACCACATCGGCCTTTTCTAGTGCCAGCTCGTCATTCTCTCGGGGTTTGTAGGCTCGAAGGCACTGTACTTGTGGAGAGTCTTTGGAGGAGAAGAGTGTGAAGAGAAATTAGGAGAAGCAGATGACTGGAACTTGACAAGGAATAACATGGGGTGGGGGATTGGGATGACTTCAGATAGAGATAAGTTTGGGCTGTTGAAACTTATGGACAAAGGGGCAAGTGAAAAAATTTGTATCTTCTACCAGAGACCAAAAAGGTTGATAAAGAAATGGAAATACCAGCATTGAAATGAATAAAAAATTCTACTTCTTCAGAGGAGATGAGTTGAGAAATACACTGTGACACCTTTACTTCCTTACTATTACCTATACTTGAGACTCGGTTAAAGACTCTTTCCTCTAAATCTTCCCTGATTATTTAGTCTTCAACTAAACTCCTTTAAAACCAATTGTCCATGCCAAATCATTTATCCCTTATCTAATTGTTTCATGTAGGTGTTTTGTCCCTCAAACTAGATTGTAAAATCAGAAATCTGTGCCTCATTCTTCATTTACTTCCCAGTAGCAGATATGGGACCAGGAAAGACTTAGCCAGTGGGGTTTCAGATATGACCAAAGCAAAGGATTTAATCCCCTTGAATGTCAGTTTCCTCATCTATAAATGATTGAGATGGATATTGGTCAAGGTTGATTGAAATGCTTCTTGGGAAATTCTGATTGTCTACATTTCTACAATTTTGTGAACCAGGGGAAATGTCTATAGACCTGAAGCCCAAGGAAACAAGCCTCAGAGTGTGCTTGACTTACAAGTCTTCCATCTTACACTGGTTTATTGCTCTTTCTGCTTTACTGCACTGCCCTGGGTCTCTCAGAAAAAAAAACAGAAGGCTGCATTGCTATTTATTTTCTAAAGCTCATCCCCATCTGCCATTAACAAAAACATTGTAAGGAAGAATTATCTTGTCCTCCTTACCCACTGGGAAACTGAGACCCAGATGGAACACACAGTTAGCCAGTTAACAGAATTAAGTTACTGCATGGTTCTCCTACTTCTTTTTCCAAGTTTCTTTGCATTTGTTTGTTTTTTGAGTCACTAAAGGTCCAGTGTTCCTTTGAGATCACATTCTCTCTGGATTTAAATTAGGGAATCCTTGCTGGGGGACACCTGGGGGGCTGATATGAGAGCCAGAGGAAGTTCTGGTATGAACAAAGGCACATTCATAATGCATGCCAGTGGCTACCCAGCAGCACCTGGAAGCCTGGGGCAGATGACCCCAGGTCAGCCCGTACAGGAAGGGGTGTGGTCAAGACAGATCTCTGTTGCTATTCTCCTGCACCTCCCACTACAGTCATACCTTCTCCCTCTACTTGCTGAAACCTTTAAGTAGGCAAAATTCAGGAAAAATAATAGCAGGATAGACTTCAGGGGACAATTTTTTTTAAAAAGAACTATTGCCCGAGGGAGATAGTATATGGGGGAGGAGCGCTGCCACAAGGATCGTTTTAAGTAGATGTGGTTCAGGTATTTAAGCTCCAGTAGCCAGTATTCCACCCTGACATTCTGGAGAAATCAAAAAATGGAAATCTCCCAGTTACCACTCAGCCTCCTAAACTCCTGTATCCAAAGGAGACTTCTGACCCTGCCACTTTTCTTTCCTTCACTCACCATAACACTCTAGAAGGTCCAACTCCTCTCTTGGCATGGTCAAGGCTGAGATCCATCGAAGCTTTTCACTTCTGAGAAAACAAAGCAGGGTCATAGCTTTAACTGCAGTTCTAGGGTTGTGGGATGAAGGCCAGTGATGGGGAAGCAAATGGCTGTGGAAAGGACTTGTCTAGTTCCATGACTTCTAAGACAAAAGTCAGTGGGATTCTGCTTGGCTGGAAATATAACAAAATCGTAAAACTAAAGGTTAACGTGTCTTGTCACACTTTACTTTTCCTCTTCTCTTTCCAGAATTATCCACTTAATGGCTTCTCATATCTCCAACTTGGGGCATAAAGTCTATGGTCAATTACATACTATAGATCTTCCATTTTGAAGACTGAACCCAGCAAAATGTTCATCTCAGTTTAAATTCCCTCTATCACTTTGCATAATTCTTGACACTCACTTGCCCACCTCCCTTCAATCAAAGATGAAAATTATTCTGTAGCAATAATTAGATCAGGGACATATATCTACTATTATTGCTGTTGCTGTACAAAGTAATCTAAGATTTTTTTTCTTTGAGTCAGAGTCTCACTCTGTCACCCAGGCTGGAGCGCAGTGGCTTAACCTGCTGGGCTCAGTCAGTCCTTCTGTCTTAGTCTTCCAAGCAGCTGGGACTACAGGCATGAGCCACTATACCTGGCTAAGTTTTTGATTTGTTGTAGGGATGAGATCTTGCCATATTGCCCAGGTTGGTCTCAAACTCTTGAACTCAGGCAATCCTCTTGCCTCAGCCTTCCAAAGTGCTGGGACTACAGGCATGAGCCACTGCATGGTCCCTACAGCTTCATTTCACACTTTCCGAGGTGGGAGGATTGCTTGAGCACAGGTGTTCAGGACCAGCCTGGGCAACATAGCAAGACCTCATCTCTGAAAATTCAAAAAATCAGCTGGGCATGGTGGTGTGTGCCTGTAGTCCCAGATGCTTGGAAGGCTGAGGTGGAATGATTGCCTGAGTCCAGGAGGTCAAGGCTGCAGAGAGCCAAGATCATGTCACTGCAAGTCCAGCCTGGGCAAAAGAGTAAGACCCTGCTAAAAAATTCAAGTTCTCCACACTATGGCTTACTGCTCTACAGAAGAATAAGTTGGAGGTGGCAGCAAGGAAAGCAAAAGGCATTCAGTGCTTGTCTCATTCACATATGTGCCCGCCAGTCTCAGGCACTGAAGGGTTTTTGCATGTGGGCATTCATTCATGAATACCAGTATTCCAACTCTTTGCTCGCTCCATACCAGCCTAGCTCCTTTCTGATGCTGTACAGACCTTGTCCTTCCTGAGTGAAGGGTGTAAAACCGATGCTAAGCCTTGGTGGTGACTTTATACTCTCTCCCACCCTGAATCTCCTGCAAACTGCTCATTAGCTCCAGGAGTATGAGCTTCTTACAAATGCTCCCCCAATCCAGAACAGGCTAAATACCACTGTGGCTGTCTTCTGGACACACCCTTTGCCTTGGTCCCGCTTCTGCCCAGCCTGCCCACCCTCGACTCCTCCACTCAGCCCCATCTTACTGAGTCTCCGTGCGGAAGAGGAACTCGCTCTGGGTGCCCCGTGTGTTGTGCTGCAGGAAGAGTCGGAAGAGGTTTTTGTGTGGTCCGTGCAGCTTCATTTCGCACTTTTCCCCCCGGATGGAAGAGAAGGGAGCGTGATCAAATACCAGGAATCGGCTACCCCTGCAAAACACAAGTCTTTTCAACCTGATTCTAGAGTTTTCATATTCCATCCGCCCTCATATCCTCAGATTTGAAATCCCTTTTCTTAGCACCTGCATCCTACAAATTCCCATTAAAAACCATAAGATGGTCCTAACATGCTCCCAAGATGACAGCTCCAGAGTCCTCAGGGATTTGTCCCTAGCTGGATAAACTACATATCTAGAGCACTGGATACTTTATAACTTTAAAGAGATGAAGAGACAGGTCAATATGCATTTTCTAAGACTCTTAGGACAGAGAGTAAAGATATGAAATTACCTGAGTATCTCTAGGTTAGCAGGTTGAGCCCAGCACCCAGAAGCCACCAGTAAGTAGACTGATCTGAGAAGATGATAGGCTAATTTGCTGCATTTTGCTCTGTGGCTAAAACACACTACGTATCCTTCATGTGATCTCACAACACAGTTTGGTGGGATCCCTTTTTTGCTTTTGGGCTTTTTTTTCACTTCTCAAGCTATGCCCTGGACTTTAGGGGTTGAGCCATTAAGGGTTCCTCGAGGAGCATGACCTTTCTCTGACACTTCCAGACTTTCCCTCTTGCCTCACTCCCTTCCCCCTGGTACCCTGGCCCCCTACTCCAGTTACTGACTCTCGGGGTCGAGACAGCAGCAGACAGTCATTGAAGAGGTGCAGGTGGATAGGGCGTGTGCTCAGCTTCCTTCGGACCCCGGGCGGGGAACTCAACTCCAGGGCTGTCAGCTCACCGCTCTTTACCAGCCACCGTGACTGCGAAATGAGTGGGAATATCTGTGGGGCGGGGGAGGAGAGAACAAGCAAGGCCACAGGCGGGCTAAGTATGAGGCTGGCTCTTGGTCCCGGGCTCCCTCTCTGTTGCTTCCATGGAAGTTCCACACAGATAATCACCTCTTCCACATCTTCCCTCTTGCTCATAACCCATCACTTAGATGCTCTTTCTCTCTGAACCCTCTAACGACAACTGTCCACTGATGTGTGGCTCCCATGGTTACATGCTCAGGCAAAAGGAAGGTGCATATGGCCCCACCCAGTTTAGTGACTAAGTAGAAAGCTCTGCCCCAGGTGCCTGAACTGAAGAACAGAGGAAAGAGCCCAATCAAGACCTGTGAAGGAACAAGGAGGGGATAGCACGGTGTGTCTTAGAAGTTAGAAGATCAGGAGCAGCCTGGTATCTGTTGCCTCTTTGATTATAACCAGATATTAGGGGAGCAGTCGAATCAGATGTGGATGAGAACAGAGAGAACTAGGCAGGTCTGCTTGGAGCTGGAGGTTGGGTACAGACGAGGGGCTTGGGTTATGATTAGTATGTGGATAAAGAAGAGGCTTCCTTCCCCTCCAGGGATATAAAAGTGGCCTCTGTCCCAAGTGGGAATTTGAATATGGAATGTCTGCTTTAGATTTGCATTTGGATGACAGATTTTGGGCCTGTATTTTGATCTAGTTTCATGTTATTTTGGCTAGATGAGTCATGGACTTGGTAAAACAATGAATGGTTCAAACATCAAAAAAATTGTTAACTGACTTTTCCCGAAAAGTTGTCTCTTGTCCTTTCCTCATCAGTTCATTTCCTAAGCATACCCTGCCTCCCCAGGGAACCATTGTTCCTTTTTTTCTTATCCTCCTGGGTTTCCTTATGCAAACAAGCAGATACATATAGATTCATGCCTTCCCACGTGTATGCCAAAGGTAATATAGCATACACACAGTTCCACTGTTCTTACTTTCAGTTAACCACATGTCTTGGAGACTGTAGCAGGCCTCCCCAAAATAAGACAGAACAGAATGAGGGCAGGAATAAGGTGAGAGACCAGGGATAGCACGAGCAAGAGGGTTCTATGTGAAAGAACCCTCATGTGGATCACGCTACGGGTGTTTGAGGGCAGGGTGTGGTGCAAAGACTGAATCACCTTGCACTCAAACTCAATCTTCTGGCTCAGGTAGATCAGCTCTTCCGTCCGTCGCATTCTCTGGACGTTGTTATTGCAGTCTCGGATCAGCTGAGGGACAAGCGGGGCGAGGAGAGGGGAAAGCACTGTGTCAGAGGCTTTGACCTTGGAGTCTCCTGCCAGCAATCTGGAAGCAAGTCCTGACAACCTCACTCTTTTCTTCCAGACTGAAATTGAGAGCAGGCAGCACCAGGTGGAAGTCCCAGGATGCTGGCATACTTTGTATGACCCAACAGAACATTCCAGAACTCAGTGATGATAAGCGTGAATGCGGGGGCTGTGGTAGACAGCATAGCCCCTTGACGTAGAGCATGCTCTGTGTGGGGAAGGTGGCTGTGGCATGTGCATGTTTGGAGGTTTGATGGGGGAAGGGAGGTGACTGAGTTCGCCCAGCAACCGGGTCCCACCTCCCACTCTTCGGAGTTGTGGGCCTCTCTGTGAAGGGGTGTGGGCACCTACCTCCTCCAGGGCGTGGTGCGCCTTTGTAGCCTCTGCTTCCTCTGAGGAGCCAGGCTGTGTTCTCTTCAGAATGTTCTATTGAACAAACAGCAGGCAGGAGCCAGATGGAAGGGAGAGATGGGAAAACAGAAAGAGATGATGGGGGGCTGGTTAAGGAAGAAGCCCAGAGACAGCATTTCAGCAGTAATTATTTCTGAGAAAAAAGGCTGTGGGCACTGGGAAGACAGGATGTGAAAACATGGCGAAAGAAGGGACAGTCCTTTGCTGTGGGGCTTCCCAAGATTATCCCTCTGAGTTAAAAGAAGAGAACCAAGATAGCATCTGCTGTACCTGGAGCAACAGTTTGAGACGCGTGATGCGCTGGAAGGGCAGAATCAGAAAAGACTTGAGGGAAAGGCGCTGGCAGATGGGGTCGCTCTCCAGCTTGTCCAAGACTTCTCGGAAACTGCTGTTGCTATTCCTGCATGGGCAGCGAGCTCAGGTGAGGAGGAATGTGGGGAGCAACAGGGGGCTTGGTGAAGGCATGGGTAAGGGGAGCTCAGTGGAACATCTGGGTTGGGAGAGAATTGTGGGAGCGGATGGACAGGGTCCAGATGTGATGGCTGAGGAGATCTGATATGGAGGGTGGGGCAGGGCTGAGATCCCAGACAGGCACAAGAAATGTGCTCTGGGGACAGCACTCTGGGCTGGGGACTGGCGCATGGTCATTGCAGGGCCCGTATGGGGAGTGAATGAGGGTCAGTCTCACAGCAGGCTTTGGAAGGTGCGTTCCTGATAGGTCTGGTTGGTGACATATGGCAGGTAGACCCGGCGGAAGTCTGGGGCATGGTTCAGGACTACATCACATACTTGGAAAGAGAAGATGTTGTTCTCAAAGTTCTCTTCCAGGTCTGAAAGGAACCTGCATAGTATTTAAACAAGTATCATGAGACTTCAGGGCCTCAATGAAGGAGCCAGCTGACCCTTGGTATGTCTTGAACTTGTGGCATCTTCTCTCCATTACTTAATTACTTCTACTGAGTCTCCTTAGTTCTGTGCCCCTTGCTATTCACTAGAGTTATCTCCAAAGCTGTCCCGAGTTTGCCCTGATCTAACTCTCTGATCCTAATATTCCATTTCTTAGTCTTCATTTTGATCCTGTTCAGGTTTTCTGATCTTGAGACGATTTCTACACCTCATTTCCAATGCAGTGAATGCCCACAGTACCTCTCAAATCTCAACCCAGGAAGCATTTCTCACTCACGTATTTATCCATGAGTGAATCTATCCCCCCACACATCCTCTTCTCTTTGCTCTTTCTATACCCATGGCCATCAGGAATCTGGAGGAAGTTGAGGCCCAATTTCATACTGCGACTGTGGCAACAAGAGCGTTTCTAAGAGGGAACGAAACCCAACTGAATGTTTAAAGGCTAATGACAGTGAGGTGAGCAAGTGGTATTTGGGAGAAGGGGAGTCTCACGTGGTGCTAACATCTCGCACATCCTGTAAACGAGAGAAGAGCCACTGATGCTCCTGGTTGGAAAGGGTGGCCCGGAGTTGGGTTGAAAGTTGGAAATGGTCCACAGCTATGTGTAGACTGCGCAGATAAGAAGCCTCAGACACGATCAGCTCAAATTTGGCCTAGGAGGTTGGAGAGAAGAAAGACTAATTAAAAACTTTTATTGACTCCCTGATACGTGCCAGCCACTGGGTAATATTTGAGGGGAAGAGCAGTGATCAAGATAGATCCCTTGGAGTGAGTAGGATTTAATCTAGGGGTTGGAAAAAAACATACACAAGTCCCCAAAGGTGTAAGAGAAAAAAATATGCTTTCAAGGAACCTAAAAAACAAAATAAAAACAAAATCTGGGTACCTAAATGAGATGGCTATGTTAGTTTGCTTCACTGGAGTAACCATTTTACCACCTCTATATATTCCTTAACATCATATCGTGTATCTTAAACATACACAAGAAAATTTATTCTAAAGAACTAAATAAATTGAAGACTTTTGGAACCAAGTGCACAACAGTAGTGGCAAGAGATAATGCTGGAGAGGCAGTAGAAAGGAGGTCTGGATAGTTATGCAAACAGTGTAAAATAGTTTGAACTTAAGGCAATGGGAAAATGAAAACAGGTTTTATGGAAGGAAATAACTTGATCAGATTTGTTTTTTATAATGATATCCCTGAGTGGAGTGTGAAGTAGAGAGTGAAGAAAAGATCAAATGGGGCAAGGGAGCCATGTTATAAAACGGCTGGAATAATTACAGATAAAGATACAGCTTGAATAATCAAGGAGCTGAAGAGAAGTAGACTGATTTTATAATTATTTGGAGGTAGAATGGAAGGATTTGGTTAGTTGCAAGAAATGGGCCATGAAAAAGGAGGAAGGGTCAAAGCTAATGCCTTGGTTTTTGATTTGGGTGACTGGGGAAGTGATGGCGTCATTTACTGAGCCAGAGAACTTTAAAAGAGGAATAGAGTTAAGATAATGAGTTCAGTTTGGGGTTTGAGAAAAAATGGAGAGAAGCAAGATTTTTGAGATCAAGATGTTACAGTAGTGCTGTCATGGATGCCCAGTGCTTGGGAATTTGTCTGGAGGTTCTAGCTCAGGGCATGATGACTTATGGGATGACCTTAACCGGACTCCTCATGCTTTTCATCCAAGCAGACACTCGGGTAGAAAAGAAAAAGAAGACACACACATCTTGGTGATGACTTGCCAGATGACCCTTCCACACAACCCTAAACAGGGACACTGAAGGTTCATTTGTATCCTCACTCTGATATTCACTGACCATATGATTTTGGGTAGCTCATTGAACATCTCTGAACCTCAGCTTTCTTGTCTTTTTATGTATATATAGTGACCCCCACCTCATAAAGATGTGACAGTCAAGAGAAATGGAGTTTGTGAAAGCACTCTACAGACTCCAGGCATGCTGGAGTCTGGTTGAAGAGGGAAATTTTAGTCTACCCCAAAACAGCAGTGATGAGGTTAACTCCACAGTCCTCCCCACACTCAGAGGTGTGGTCACCCTGCATGAGCCCAAACCAATTGCAGGTAGGAGTGAATGGCCCATGGCATGAAGAGGTGGATATGAGGGACAGTGGTGCCATTCAGAAAAAAGAATAATTCTTCAGAATGGAGATGACCCCTGGTCGTGATGTGTACATGCCTGTGTGGTGGGTGTGTAGTGGAGACAGTCTGCTCTTGGTGACAGTAGTGAGTAGGAGATAAGGACGTTAGCAAGCAAGACCCTGTGATCTTTTCTGTGTTCTCTTCCCCCCCTCCCATCCTGCCCTGCTCAGTACCTCTTGTAGTTTTTGGTCTTCGTGGGTCATGGAGAGCAGCACAGTGCTGTTGCGTACCACCGGGATCTCCTGCCAGAGAGAGCTACTGGAGGCCATGGAGAGGCGATGCAGGTAGGACTCAGAGGACACCAGGGCTTTTCGAGGCTGCTGGGGGGACATGGGCCCAGGTGCCTCTGTCAAGTTATCCAGCCGTTGCTGGCTCTGAATCTCCTTGTTGAGGAAGACATCGCTGTACTCCTGGTAAAGCAGCTGGGCTATGGGGCGGAGGTGCAGGGAGAGGGAGGTAATCAAGGAGAAAGGGAAGGTGAGTGGAGGCACAGGAAGTTCCCCTGGCAATCCCCCTCTCGGTGGACACTGTCACCCCACAGCTGACAGCCATTTGCTCCTCTCCAGTCCTGGGTAGAATACCTAGCTGGGTCTACATCTCTGTTTCAAGAGACTCACAGGAGTTGATGAGCTTGGAACAGCGTCTTGAAAAGCCTCCCGTCACCTCCTTTGACTTTTTCTCCCTGTGAATAAAGAGGACTCAGGGTGGCTTGTTGGCCACTACACACAGAGGATCCCCTGGGTGGCTTCAGAGGAGAGAGTCTTTAACCTCTAGGACATGTGCTTGGATGTCATGACCAAATTATCTGAAGAGGTGCAGAGTTGCAGCCTGACCCACTTGGGGTAGTTTCAAACTTTTTTTTTTTGAGTTGGAGTCTCACTCTGTCACCCAGGCTGGAGTGCAGTGGCACACTCATGGCTACCCCAGCAGCAACTTGCTGTGTTCCAGCGATCCTTCTGCCTCAGCCTTCCAAGTAGCCGGAACTACAGGTACGCAGTACCACACCCCACTAATTTTTTGATTCATTGTAGGGACGAGGTCTTGCCAAGTTGCCCGGGCTGGTCTTGAACCCTCAGGTTCAGGCAATACACTCACCTTGACCTCCGAAAGTGCTGGGATTACAGGCTGAACCACCGACCCCAGCCTAGTTTAGAAGTTTTTTGGTGTCATGTGGAACTTCTGCATGGAGTTCATGGCCAAGGGGCTTGGGAGGACAGATGACTTGGACTTGCCTTACAGACTGAGGTAGATAAAGACAATCTCCCCATCCTGGCATCCTGGCCTCTCCATCTTCCCTTCCCTACCTCCAGAAGAGACAGGCAGGAACCATTCAGGGTTCCAGACCTTTATCAACTCAAATCCTGATTAGGAAATCTCAGTATCCTCAGTGAAGAGAGTACAAGTGTGGCTGTTAGGAGAGAGGACGACTCACCGGAAAACAATGGTGTCTGAAGTGCTCGGAGATCTTTCCATGGCTGGACCTCTTGAATCTGAAAGTAAAAATGGGTGAGATAACTTGAGATTTCAGAGGGATATTTAGAGACAGCTGAAGAAGGTAAGAGCTAGAGTGGAGATGTAGGTATCCAGAAGGGAAAATGGGCTCTACTGGGACTTGGGGAGGGAAGAAAGTGGCAAAGCAGAGAGTGTGAGAGGAGACCAGTATAAGCAATGTCCCCACCCTCAGGCCAGGATGGAATTAGACACCCTCTACCGCCCCAGAAGAGATCAAGCAGGTGTTGCTAACTGAAACAGGAGTCCCAGACAACCTTGGGACATTCAAAGCAGGCCCTGGTTGAGCAAGAGACAGGGAGATAGAGGGAAGGAGAAGGAAGATCACCCTACAGAGCTTGAAGGGTGCTCCAGAGTTTATCTCTGGGTTGAGCTGAGAAATGCGAGGGAATGAAGCTGGCAGAGGGAACAGTGGGAACCTGGGGCAGAAGATGGGTGGAAAGAGCTGGGAAAAGACCGGTCTGACATTAATGTCACTGTGATCCTTGCTCACCTGAAGAGCCCTCAGGCAAGATGGAAGGTCTGCGCAGGCCTTGCCGGTTCCAACCCTTGTGCTTGCTGGGTACCTCGCCAGAGACCACAGCCTGTCCACCACCGACTGCCGGCAATCTCCCTGGGTCTCGCCTATGGGGCCAACTGGACGCCTTCTCCAGGTGTGGGTGGCTGGGTTTTTCTGGCTGTCTTGTTAGGCCTAGAGCTGATCTTCTTGGGCCACTGGATCCTTCCTGAGGGGCTTTTCTTCTCAAAAATTCTCTTGCAGGGACCTCAGACTCTTCTGACAGTGCTGATTTATCCTTAGGGGTAGGTCCCTGGAGCTCTAGAGTCCATGGAGTGGTAGGGGGAGAGGGACTTAGAAGGTTTGTCATATTACTGAAAGCCATGCCGGGAGATGCTTCACTCTTGCTCCTACTGGTAGAAGCCAAAGACTCGGTTGCTCTGCCTGTGGCCGGGGGCCAGGAGGTACGTCCAGCAGAGGGGGCCATGGGGGCTGTCCAGTCTTGACAAACAGGTCTTGGTTTGGTTTGACCCCCTGAATATGTGAGTCCTCCCTGAGTGCTCCTGCTCCTCTCCCTGGACTTTGGGGGTAATGGGGGAGGATCAGTAGAAGGATCCATGGAGGGCACAGGGGGTAGAGGCCTGTAGATCCTTGAGATACTGGAAGAAGAAAAGGGAGAATGATGGGGCTGGGGCAAATCAGGAGTTGGGGGTAATGGCCTGCTGTATCTCAGTCTGGGGGAGAACAGGGTCTGTGTATGGTGGGAGCTGTCCGGAGTAGATGGCAGAGGTCGGTGCTGCCTCGCCACCAGGGGGTCAGGAACTTGGGGCAGTGGACCTTTAGGGGGGCTGTGTAGCCCTGAGCTTAGGGCTAATGGAGGAGAATGGCTATGCCTCTTCTGTGTGGGGACCGCTGCATGAAGATGACCATCTCTCTCCACTGTGGAGGGGTAGATATGCCTCTTCTCTGGGGGTGGAGGGGGCAGAGGTTCATGGATCCTCACATCCATGGAGACATGGGCTGGGGAAGAATCATAGGCAGGATAGCCTGTGGCAATGGCCAAATGATGTGGGGAGTCCCACGGTTGGCTGCTGTGAGGACTTCTGGGCTGCTCAGTATCTGAGGTAAATTCTTGAGAGTCCTGCTTCAGAGTAGGGGATTCCGAAATGATGCTGCAGTCCCTCCTGCTCCTCTGGTCCCTTCTTGGGATCACAGAGCCATCGATGGCAGGTTTGGGAGGTCTCTGGGGCAGCTCTGAATGGGAGAAGGAAAGTGACATTCCCACCAGGTCTGCAGTCTGCTCCATCCTGTGAGAGCCTGGGAAGGAATTGCTCCGTAGGTGTTGTACAGCACCTGCACAGTTGCCTGGGGGGCTGTGAACCGAGCTGGCATGTGGGTCCAAGGTGGCCTCTGCAGAGGGGAAGCTGTGGAAGGAAGCTGGGAGTGTCTCGGAAGCCACCCAGGGTGGGTTGTCCATTGGAAGAGAGGCTCTGGACGTTTCTGGAGGACATGCAGCAAGAGAGGTTTTCCTCCTGGGAAAGGCAACTTGGGGGTTGACAGATGAGGAGGCAGGTGTGACGGGGGAGACTTCAGCAGGACTGGAAGGAACTGAATCCAATGTCCTTAGAGGAGTAACAATTGTATCGGCAGAGACCCCCTCAGTCCCTTGGCTGAACATTGTCCCCTTCCTCAGTCTTGATGTGTCTCGCAAGCCATCTTGAGCTATTTCATTGTCATGTGACTCCCCAGTAGAAAAGGAGCCAGGTGGAGAAATGGGCTGATGGGAACATCCTTTGGGCTCCAGTGAGGGAGTTAGAGCTATGGGGGACAGTTCTTCAACTCTGAGTTCTGTCTGAATCCCAGGAGTCCAAGTCACGGTATACGAGGCATCTGGAAACAGGTCACAGGAAGAAGAGATCCCAGAGGCTACCAGAATCAGCGAAGAAGGCCCATGATGCCCTTTCTCCTCTTCCGTACTCCTCTCTCCTCCTCCCAATCGCCCCAGCCAGTCCCCATCCCAACACCCCCGCTCCTGCTCACTTAACCCTGCCTCCTCCTCCTGTCCCTTCACTGGCATCCCTTTCTCCTTTAGACCTTGATCGTCTTGCTTTCTAGTTACTTCCTCTGATGTCCCCACCAAGCTTTGACTCTCCTCGTATGGAGAGTCCACCCCACTTTCTTCCAGCCCCCTCAATTCCCTCCTCTTCTGTTCCCCCTGTCCTGGGCCTTCCTGACCCAGCACCTTCCTCTGCATGTCCTCTTGACCCCACTCACCATCATTCAGATGCTCTAAGTCTCCACTGAACCTCTCTCTTTCTCCTTCCCTCCTAAGTTTTATATCATATTGTCCTTGTTCGTGTTTTTGCTCTTTTTCTCCCTCTTCACCATTAACTTGCTCTACTCTCTGTTCCTGCTCCCCACAAAGCCCGCCAGCACAAATATCTTCCCCTGAAGTCCCTTCCCCCTGAAATTCCACTTCCTGCTGCACCTGCTCCTCCAGCCCTGGGGCCTCCTGGGAATGCAAGAGCCTTTCTTGCTCTTGACTTTCCTGTGCTTCTGTAGACTGCAGTCTTTTCCCCTGCCTGGCAGTCCCACTTTCAAAGTCCTCAAACCAAAATCTGTTCTGAGAAGTTTCTTCCTTCTCTTCTGCCTGTGTAGATCCCAATGTTGAAGAAGTGAGCTCTGGTCGAAATTCTACCTCCACTGTGTCGCCCAGTTTGCTAGATCCTGGGACCACGTCTAGACATTCACCCTGTACAAGGCAGGCCCAGAGCTCTGGGGGGGCTATTGTCCTTGCTTGTCTGTCTGCCAGGCTCTGGGGCACTGTTTCTTGGATCTCTGGAGTGTCACAGGCCTCAGTCACAAGGCTTTCCTGGTTGGTGTCCACAGCTGCAAAACCTTCCTTGGGGAAAGGAGGCATACTCTCATCTGAGTCACACGCATCTCTGAACTCTCTCTGCTGTGTCGCCAGCAGGCTGTGTTCTTCTCTCCACTTGCAGGATGGGTCCTCACTGTCTTGAGCCTCAGGCCCCAAGTCAGGGCTCTGGCTGCTCCTCATGAGAGCTCCAGGGACAATGCTGAATTCCGCACCAGCAGGGATGGAAGGAGAGGCTCCATGTTGGGGCTCCTCAGTCTCCATCGGGGCCAAATCCTAAGGAGGAATAAAAGACAAAGGTTTCAAATACCTCTTCTGCTTTTAACTGTGGAGGGGAGAGATCATCAAAAAATAACGGTGCCACATTTCTTTGGTTCCTTTAAGGGGCATTCTTTGAAACAAAAGATACTCAACAGAATAAGCAATAGCCTCTATAAGCTTATTATTGATATAATCTATAAATATTTATCTAGGGATTCTTTTAAGTATGGGGCACAAGGGAGTGAATGAGACAAAGATCTTGTCCTCAGGAACATGCAGTCTTGTGTGGGAAACAGATAGCAATAGCAATAAAATTAATGTTCGTTTTGCCAGATACCTGTAATCCCAGCACTTTGGGAGGTCATGGCAGGAGGATCGCCTGAGTCCAGGAGTTTGAGACCAGCCTGGGCAACATAGCAAGATCTCATCTTTACAAAAAATAACTAACAAAAAAATTAGTTAGGCATGGTGGTGTGCGTTTTTAGACCCAGTCATTCAGGAAATGGAGGAAGGAGGATTGCTTAAGCCCCGGAGGTCAAGGCTGTGGTGAGCCATGACTGTGCCACTGTACTTCAGCCTGGGTACAGAATGAGACCCCCAACTCATAAAAAAAAAAATTAGAGCATAAGATCGTTGTCAAAGAGTGCCAAGCACTTCCAGCTGTCAGTCCTCTCTTTACTGTATTATGTCGTATTCTGTCTTTCCCTGTCTACACTCTAGAATCCAAGAGTGACTCAGCTCATATAACTACCAGACACAGTGTGTGACACACCCCAGATCTAACAACCCAGAGAAGCCAGTGTCAGGAGGAAATCTTCCTCCTAAGCAGCAGACATGGGTTAAGATAGTTCCGGCTATTACACAGCCAATGTGTAAGGTACCCTAGTTTCATCTTCTTAATACAGGGCCTGGATTTTACTCATCTTTTTATTTTCCACAGTGTCTAGTAGAGCCTTGTAACTAATGAACAATGTTGTTTTCTAGAGGCAGATGTTATAAAGTGGTGATAATAGACACTAGTTTAATGCTGTAGTCAGGGGTCCCCAACCACCAGGCCATGAATTCATACTGGTCCATGGCCTGTTAGGAACCTGGCCACACAGCAGGAAGTGAGTGACAGGTGAGCAAGCAAAGCTTCATCTGCATTTACAGTCACTCCCCATCACTTGCATTACTGCCTGAGCTCTGCCTCTTGTCAGATCAGCCACAACATCAGATTCTCATAGAAGCATGAACCCTACTGTGAGCTGTGCACGTGAGGGATCTAGGTTGCATGCTCCTTATGAGAATTGAATGCCTAATGATCTGAGATGGAGCTGAGGCAGTAATGTTAGCACTGGGGATTGGCTGCAAATACAGATTAACATTAGCAGTGAACTTTGACTGTACATCCTCCCCCCACCCTCTACCTCCTACTGGTCCATGAAAGAATTCTCTTCCATGAAACCGGACCCTGATGCCAAAAAGGCTGGAGATCACTGCTGTAGTAGATACAACAGTGACCATCTTCAATGAAGCCCATAGAGCTGTGCTACCTTCATTATCTTCCTCTCCCCTTCTCAACAACCATGTGAACTCTTCTCATTAATTCCTACAATTTTGACCTTCCAGCCTCTCTGCTCACCTTCAGCTGAACACTTCATCTCCTACTTTGCAAAGTATTTAGAAACCAATGGAGAGGAACCACTTCAATGTGTTGCAATCCAGAGACCTGCATTTTCACTTTTCCATCTTCCCTCCGTAGGACAAGACGTGTCCCTCCTCTCCCAGTCCTGTCAACTTTAGCCTGCCTCCTCAGGGACCGTGTGCTGTGAATGGTTTCTTGCTTTTATACCTTCAATCACCCCTCTAGGATTTAAGTATTCCCACGTCCTTCCCATCTTTCAAATGCCTAGGAGTTGTTCCCATCTGCTGTCTGCACATCCTGACATCCCCCTGCCTTCAACAAGCACCCAGGCCGGGTATGGTGGCTCATGCCTATAATCCCAGCACTTTGGGAGGCCAAGGTGAGAGGATTGCCTGTGCCCAGGGGTTCGAGACCAGCCCGGGCAACTTGGTGAGACCTGGTCTTTAGACTAAGAAGTAAAATTAGCTAGGTGTGGTGGCATATGCCTGCCGTTCCAGCTACTTAGAAGGCTGAGGCAGAAGAATCACCTGAGCCCAGCAGGTGGAGGCTGTGGTGGCAGTGAATGTGCTACTGCACTCCAGCCTGAGTGACAGAGTGAGAGTCTGTCTAAAAAATAAAACAAAACCCCAAAACAAAAAAGCACCCTCTGCCAACTTCTCCTATAATCTTTATGCCACTGATCCCAAAGAAGGCCTACAGACCCTTATTTTGGGTGAGTGCTGTCAGTCTTTGACACTATTGACATTAGAAATATTCTCTATCTTGTTATTTGTAGTATTACATTTTCCTGGTTTTACCACTTAAGTTTTCCCCAATATTTTCACTAGGTTAATCTATACTTCTCTTTGCAGCACTTGCCAACTTCAATTCACTCTTCTTCTCTTTTGTAGCATTTATCACATTCTCCAGATCTAACCAATCACCAAGTCTTGTTGATCTCTCTCGTCCAATATCCACAAGACTGTCACTTCTTGCCATCTTCATGGCTAGAAGCACAGCTGGTGCATGCTGCTGTCCTGCTGCCCAGTCACTGCATGGGGCATGGCCTGGCCACTGGTCTCCACCCATCTTGCACTAGTCTCATTCATTTTCCACATAGCACCTGAGTGAGCTTCCAAAGTACCACTTCTAGTTTAAATCCTTTAGCAGTCTCCGAATTCCCTTGAGATGAAACCCAGATATTCAGCAAGGGTTATACACCCTGTACCACCTGGCTTCCACCTTCCTTTTCCAGCAGTTTCCTCTCCTGTCAGCACCTGGCCGACCCCACTGGCTTGCAGTCCTTACAGCTCACCTCCCTCTCTCTCACCCAGAGGCATTCACAAGCTCTGGAATCCTCTTCTCCTGCCTCCGAGAATTCTTTTCTTCTCCTCAAAGACAGTTTGTACTTGTAATGACACAGTTAATGCCTACTTTCCAGGCTAGACCATGAGCTCCACAAAGGCACAAACGCTGCCATATTAACTGCTCAATCTCCTCTGCCTGAAGCTTAGTTGGCCCTCAACAAAGATGTATTGCATGAAAGAATGAAGAAAGAATACAGAGTTTAAAAAGGCCGGGCGTGGTGGCTCACGCCTATACTTCCACACTTTGGGAGGCCGAGGTGAGAGGATTGCCTGACTCCAGGGGGTTTGAGACCAGCCTGGGCAACTTGGTGAGACCTTGTCTCTACAATAAATGAATAAAAATTAGCTGAGTGTGGTGACGCATGCCTGTAGTTCCAGTTCCTTGGAAGGCTGAGGTGGAAGGATCACCTGAGCCTAGCAGATCAAGGCTGTGGTGACTGTGAATATGCCACTGCACTCCAGTCTGGGTAACAGAGTGAGACTCCAACTCAAAAAAATAAAATAAAATAAAAAAGAGGACAAAATGATTCCTTCACAGTTCCAATAACAATTAAATAAGATATCATTAAAAAGTGCATTGTCATCATTAAGTGTCATCAAAATGGTGAGGATTACAATTATTGTTGACTTGAGAGAGAGTGTAAGTATAAAAAAGAATTATAGGCTTTATAAAGCTGAAAGGATCTGTAGAGACATGTAGAAAACCTCAATTCACAGATGAGGAAAAAAGGTTAAAGACCCTAGACACTTGCTCAAATTTCCTAAGCAAATGATATAGGCAAACTTGAACCGAGGTCTCTTGACTTAAGCCTATTGTCAGCACCTAGTTGTCCCACTGCAAGAAAGCTAGCAGGTCGCTAGTCCAGACAAGGGCCCAGAATTCTATGGACCTCACACGCACCTGACCCCTGTACCTTTCTTGTCTGGTCCAGGTTAAACTGGAAGTTCAACAGCCCCAGAATGCCTGTTGTCTTGCTGAGCCACTGCACGTGCATGCACACACACCACACACACACACACACACACACACACACACACACACACACACACTGAGCCATCCTTGCAATCTCTATACAGTAGAGCCTGACATAACCAAACAGCCAAGTCCCAGCCACCCTGCTGATATAGTATATACCAAACTCTGGCAACCCTCTCAAAACAGACCATCTCATATATGGGGCAAAGAGGTATGTCTGACATAATTGCACCCATGTAGAAGGACTTGTATGTCCTTTTCCAGTTAACTGACACAGTGTGTGATTTCTTCTCTATATCTAGCCCTTAAGTAAAAAAAAAAAAAAATACTATAATCACTACGGGCAATTCTGTGATGTGACCCTATTCTCTCAACCACATGTTAAATAATATACTTGCTCACTTTCTGAAACTTGGTTCTTACCTCCTTAAGGACTAAATCTTAGAGACCTTGTGACTAAATCTGTAGTCGCTCCTCACCCACATCTGTATTGCTCAGGCCCTTTCCCCCATATACACCATCAAAATAAGTAGCCCCTAAATATGTTAAGTATTTCTGCCACATCCAGGCTTTATCTATACGTACCATGTGCTACCTGGGCATTTTTCATTCCAACCTAGTGGCACAATGCGCATCTGTCACCTGCAACCTCACGGACACTATTTCTAACATTGTCTTTTTACCTTTGGAAATATCAGTGGTGACCTGCTCAGCCACCATTTCCCTTGAAAGGAGAACATGCCCCCATGTTCCTTATATTCGATCCTATCTAAGTAATCCTGTTGCAATCAGGTATGACAAAGCTAAAATTTGAAAAAACAAAAGAAAATCTGTAAAACATAGTTCTAGGCAAAGGCATCAGGAGAACATTGTTTTTTGTTGTTTCCCCAATGCTCATTATGTTAGAGCACAAACATCCTCATCTCCTTCTTCACGGGGTGAATAATCACTGTTTATCTGAACACAGGCAAAGCCAGGGCATGGCATCATAGGCATATGGCCTTCCTTCAGACCACAGACATTTGGCATCTGCATGCCCCTATCCAGGTGTGAC